AAGAATGAACCAAAGCAAATAAACCTCTGGCATCCTTGTGATAGGAAGTTGCCCCAAAATATCAGATTTTTGACGTCTGGCTATGTTCTTCAATATTTTCATTTCCATTTGATTATCACGGTGATTTTGAGATTTGTATTTGATTAGGTACAGGGAATAAAGGTACTACCAAACTGCAGATCAGTTTGTCAAGACAGCAAAAAGTTAATTGTATATACTTGAGAAGGTAAGTATTCAGCCTTTCCCATACATATCTGTCAATGTAGTTAAGTCTTTGCCTGCCACTCCTCTACTCCCAGGCTTGGCAGATAAATAGTTGTTATTATGATGTGGAAAACCTTCTTTTCCTCATTTGGCAAGTATTTCTATTGAAGTTGGCAGGATAAATTAGCCTGGGGAAAGCTATCCAAAGTAGCAAGAATCATGTGTATACATCATCTACATATACAATTTTCCTGAAAATAGGATTATAACTGGGCACCTTCATTGCTATTTTTTAAAAAAACAGACCAGATTCTTAATAAGACTCCATTTAATTCCATGGGGGATCCCTGAGGATCTGGGATAATATGAATGCTAAGTGCCAAGGCCTTAGCATGCACCAATTACCTAATCCTTTGCTCTTTCAAAAAGTCATATCCACTGCTCTGATCTTTATTTCTTAAGTGTTTGCTGTCATCTGTGGTTACCTGAAGCTGGTGTTGATAAACTTCAGAACTATGAACTTCCTAAATCTTGTGTTTCAGGGGGATAATTTAATCACGGAATGCCACTACAGTACTTTGGACCGAATTCGCATGACATGGGTAAGAAAAGTTTTAATGGATCAAAATAACTACACAGATAATATTGGAGACTAAAATCTTTTTCAGAAAATGCTATTAAAAAGTGTGAACTTACTTGCTAATGCCTGTGTGCGTGTAATTATGTATTATCTTTCCTTTCATAGATTCTTAAGTTTTAAAGTCATCAGGACTATTATGATCATAGTCTGATCTCTTGCATAAGGCATTCATGTGACTAGTTTATAAAAATAAGCAACCAGCTCATAAAAGATCTTTAAAAATCAGACTTCGCTAGTATAAGGAGTGCTTTCTTCATAACATGTATTAACATGCAAATTCTGCATGTTCTAATGAATTATTTTTATGAACTTGTTACGCATTTTTCCCCGAAGTTGTAATTGCCAGTTCTTACGTATTGATTTTTACTTGCGCCGTGACCAAGATGGGACTGCTTGCTTTTGTGCCTAACGTAGAATCCAGGCAGAATGCAGGTCCTTTGGGCTGGGAGGAGGGGGCTCTGTGCGTTACCTTTCTCACGCGGTGGGTTTTCCAGCGGCAGGGACCCCCCCGGACAGCTGCTGCCCCCGGGGCGGCGCTGGAGGCGCCTGGCCCGTACCCTCGCGCCCTTGCAGCCGAGGCACGAGGAACGGCTGTGCCACAGCCCTGAGTGCGTGTCCGTGGCAGTGGACAAGGCAGGGCCATGGCCAGGGGGAGCATCCCCTTCGGGGTTGAGGGGGTCCGGCTCAGGTTTGGCACATGGCAGCGCATGGTCTCCCAGTTGCAGCTTTTTAGGTTAGCAGAGGCCAGGCACCGGCCGTTGCAATGTGGCCACTTGGTTTTGGAGGTGAAGCAAATTCGGTTGTTGGGACATGAGCTGGACTGTGCCAGCTGGCTACGAAACCAGTGAGTGATGCCAGACCCACTATGCTTACGGGAGGGACGTAGCTGCCGGCACCCAGCCTTCGCCAGGGGCTGATCCCGCTTCCTCAGGAGGGGCTGGATCCAGACCTCCAGGAGGTGAGACCTGAGAGGTTTCTGTTCGGCAAGGAAGACCTGTTCCTGGCATCCAGAGAGCAAAGGGATACCTCTCCCTGAATCATGGCTTGCATGTAGGCACATGCAGTAGGTATATAAAGAAAAGCAAAAGAATGAGAACGAAGGCTTTTGAGTTTTTGTCCTATTTTCCTGTGTGGTGACCATACTAGCTCTTGGGCCTTGATTCATGTGTTTTGTCTTCTCCATTCCTATGCCTGTGGTTCTGTGAGATTTGTGGAACTGTTCCCACATGGGATTTAGGAACGTGCAGCTCATAATCTTGTCCATATTTACCAAGATTAATTTTAAATTAGTTGTTTGCCTCATGGCGCTCAATGGAAGGCTGTTTAAGAGTCTCTTTCTTCTGCTAGCTAAAAACCTTACTCTAATTAATTAATTTATAGTTTGTGCTCATTTGTTCTTGCGTCAACATTATCTGTCAACTTAAATAGTTCTTTTCTTTCTTACTTTTTATCTGTATATGTACTTACAAGGAAAGTCCATATAGATACATATTCCATCCCAGCCTCCGTTTTACTAGGCAAAGCTCATTTAATTTCTTATTAAACAAACTAATTATCCTACCAGACTTTTTCTACATCTGCTCCACTTTGAAGCCCTTTTTCTGAAACATGGTAGATATAAGTACCTTGGAGATAGTTGAAAATAAACCTGAACTTCTCAGCTAGTTCTCTTCAACACAATAGGAGTTTTATTTTATTGATAGTTGTTCTTTCTGACATCTTTTAAGCTTGGGAGCTATTGCTTGAGCTTGCAGTGTATTTTGTAATTAATTATGTAATAACTTCTTGCTACTTGATAACGTAATGTGCAAGATAAACCTGTTGAACTGGGCCTCCTGATACACGTTTCATTAACATATAAATGCTAATCAGTGTTTTTATCTGTGGGATTCCAATGCTATCTTGATTAAAAGAAAAATCCCTTTTTCAGGGTGGTCTGAGCACCAGGAACGAAATGTGCCTGTCATATCTTCTCTACTACCCGAGAATCAACCTCACCCGATGTGCAAGTATTCCAGATATAATGGAACAGCTCCAGTTCATTGGTGTTAAGGAAATCTATAGACCAGTCAGGCAAGTAAAATGTTTATGAATATGTGTAGCACCTCTATTTCTGTCTGTGGGATTACAGGGTCATTTTTATACGACCCTTATTTCTTTCTGGTAGTACAACATGTTGCAGGGTCACTCATGCCACTTCTTTTTGGTCAATACGCTGTGCTGCTACTTATTTCTCCTGCCAAATTATTTTGCTTTTTTTTTTCTTTTATAAAAAAGCAGTTTCTTCAGTTAAAGAAATAATATTTCTCCCCGCAGTTTTTTTTCACTACAACCATCTATAAAAAGACTATGTATCAATGTCATATCAATGTTTCAAATCTATCAATTTGTTAAAACATATCAGTGTTTCACACATATAAAGATAATTTTGCAAAAGGAGTTTGGGAGCCTGAGTATCGAATTACCCTGGGTAGATTTGCTGTCAGTAATTCTGCTGAAGTCAATCAGCGCAACCAGATCCTAGAACTGTTGCTGACATATAGTACTTAATCCTGTCTTGGTGACTGACAAAAATGCACAAAAGGGGAAGAATTTGTAAGTTAGAAAGGAAATGGAGGGATTGAGAGAATATTAAATTGTTCATAGTAAAAGATAAATGGTAGATAAGCACCGTGATGGAGAGAAATGAGAGAATTGGAGGCTTTGGAAGAATAACAAGTCAGAGGATGACATGTAAGGTAAGTAGAGACAAAAACATGGAACCAATGGTAGGAATCTAGCCAAGAGGAAGAAAAGAGCTTTTTAGGTGAACTGTTGGCTTCAGGGGCTTGCAATTCTGTGCAAAGACACTGTCTCCCGAGTCTTGGACTCCTACTGTTCAGGGAAGCATGACACTGCACATTTTTGAGATGTAAATCCATGTCAGAAAGAAAAACCCCAGGCTCATTCATCAATTTTTCTTCCTAATAAAAATAACCCACAAGAATCTGAATATTGGCCCGCTGCTCAGCTCAAAAGGGGTAATACCATTTTGTTGTCAGAGCTGTCTACTTCAGTGCTCCACAAATATTAAATATCCCCTCTGTGAATGGCGAGGGGTGGGGGCTGTCACCATTTAGGCAACTCAGGATCTATAACAACCAGCACAAAGGTCCGTGCAATTCAGCTGGCATCTGACTGCTGGGGTAAACCACGGGCTGGTGAATTTTCAACAAGGTGTTGCAGTTTCTTTGGTAAGCCAGCAGAAGTCTTGCTGTCCTTCATCATGAGAGTCCTCGGCAAGAAAAAATGCTTCCCAGTGTGTTGTTGGATCTGGCTTTTCTGCCCTTTAATGTCAGTGGGATGACCTGTACAACGATATTGCTCACTAAGAGCAAGAGTGATTTCCAGAATCTAACATAAAATTTAAGTTTTGGTAGGAGATGGGAGGAAGCCCACTATAGACAGCATAAATGTGTGTGAATATATAAAAATCAATAAATAGTGTATTTCAGTTTTTAAGTGTTCCTTACAGTGCTTAAAATTAAAGCATCTCCACAGCAGATCAGCAGTGGAAGTGATTGTAAACAGAGTGAGAATAGTCTAAAGAGAAAAGTTCCCAAATGACTGAAATGCAGAAAAATAATCAAACAATAGAAAGTAGAACGCCCTATTAGTGGTGAAAGGTGAATTATAGTTGTATTGTTAGTTGCCCTACGCTAAGGTAATAGTAAGATTTTAAAATAAAATGGATAGACTAATAGCGTGTCATCACATTTAAATTTTAAAAGTTGTCTTTCCTTATACAGTTTATCTTAACAAAACCATATAAAACTATTATTGCAAAGTAATTTGATGTACAGGCTTACTGGTCTTAGTTCTGAAATTTATATCCAAGAGAGAAGAGTTTGAAGAAAGTCACAATGCAATCAATGTCTACTTCATTTTCCACACTATTTCTATTTAAAATCTCTTTTAATACAGGGAGAACACAGTTTCTAAATTAGTCCTAGCTAAAAGAGTCTTTCTGAGCTTAGAAAGAAAATATTCTAACAAATGTATGCTCTCTTGAGTGTTCATTCATGATAACTGTACTTAAGGAAAAAATGCACATTTAGCCTGGGGAAATAAAGATGTTTTGAATAGAACAAGTATGCAGACTGTCTGCCGCAAATGGAATAGTAATTAGAAGAAGAGATTATTAATGCCTCTAGTATTTATGACCTAATCCACAATTCTTGTTTCATTAAGCTCTGTCAGCCTAAGGATATGTGACCTGATACTCATCTCTCTTGTGTCAGTCTTACACTGGAATTGCTTCACTGACTCCTCTAAAGTCTCTCTTGACTCACACATGAAGGCAAATGGAAGCAGGATCAAGGTGCTGTGGCTCACTTTAAAACTCTTTTTTTCCTCAGTCTGGTGGCACAGACAGTGGTATAAATCATGAGGAGCTGAGATGAAAGTGATTGGGCCACAATAGTGTAAAATAGGTGCTTGATTAAAATTATGTCCTCCGTGCCGAGGTGTTGAGTAGAGCAGAACTTTGGCATAGGCAGCACTTTACCCAAAGCAAGTGGGAGACAGCCTACTGCAAGATGACACACACCTGTCTAAAGTGCTTTGAAAAGATAACTCACGCTCCAACCAAAGTATTAATTAGGTTACTTAGATAAAGTTTTAGCTACTTTCATTCTTCCACTAGCTGTATTGGACTTTCTGTTTTTAAAAACTTGACCCGTCCAACATGTTGTTTCCATTCATCCCAGTAGAGTCAAACAAGGAGAAAGCAAGAACAATGGAGAAGGTTTTTTTTAGCTGTTTTTTTAAAATTTTCCTGCGCTGTTATTTTTGAGTTTTCTTTACTAAATGAAAGACACTTGTTCATGGGGAGGATTCCCACATGTGGGCAAATAGTCAGGTCTCTCACAGCAGCACAGCAGATCTCTATCCCACCCCAGGCCGAAAGTCCCCTTGCAGCCAGCGTGTAGAAAAAGGCAATGCCCACACCACCAGTTATTCTCATTTGATCTTTTGGCACTGCTGCCCACCAATGCGTGTCAGAGCAACTGCTGTGCTAGGCTGAGTTTTGTCCTATTATCTGAGTTATGACCAGAGCTTGGCAGAGCCATCTGGAAGCAGCTTTCTAATGGCAAACGTTTCTTTACAACACTGTCTGCCAAGCTTAGTAGAGGTCGTGGCTTTTGTTTTGTTTTGTTTTTTTGAGAAGTTACGACAGAAGATCTGTTTTGTATTGCCTGTGTATTCAGTTAGTAGCTCAGAGAACAGCAATGTAATTCTTTTTCTTAACTTAAAGTCCTTCATTTCTAAAAGCTTCTGGCAGCAAGTCCTCAACTGGTGACTAACTTTCATAAGTCTGTTAAAATCAATGAAACTGCATCAGTTTTCAGTAGCAGAGAACTTAGCTGAGAATGTGAGTTAGGCATAATATACATGTTAATAGTACTTTTGTTCTTCTGAGTAGATTCTCCAAAAGCTTTTCCTCATCACTTCCAACTTGATGGAATTTTTCTGTTTTTTAAAATCTATTTATTTATTTTTCTTTAGGACTTGGCCTTTCATTATCAAGAGTCCTAAGCAATATAAAAACCTGTCTTTTATGGATGCAATGAACAAATTCAAATGGTCCAGATCGGAGGGTCTCTCCTATAATGAGCTTGTGCTTAAACTACCAGTGAACGTGAGATGTTCAAAAACAGATAACGCAGAATGGTCGGTAAGTCTAAGTGTTGAAAAGGAGGCAACAATGCCATGAAACAAATGTGATTTATTGTGCTTCATTGTGTATGAATAATACCTGGTTATATATCTTCAGACTGTTTACATGGCTATATTGCATTTACATACAATAACAAATGATGAGAATGTTTTGTCAATGCTTTCACCTAACTTGAGTTCTGGAAGTATTTAAAAAGAATAGAAAAGTTGGAGCTTTGATCAGCACTTGGGATCAGTAATAGGGGTATGGAGTCTTTCAGTGTGTCCGGGACTGATCAGAGAGTAACCATATGTGTCCAGATTAGGTGACCAAGTTAGAAAGCTGTTTTCCCTTGGCTGCATCCATTGTTAGGGACTTATGTTAGGGTCTTGCGATGGATGATTCAAAATCGCTAAATCGGGTTTCTTCTCTGAGTCACTCTGTAGGAGGAAGCTTACTGACCGCATAAGGAAGGCCCAAGAATCTAACTTCTTAACTCAGGCATCTAGACTACCTAAAGTTGTATGAGGACTCTTCCAATATCTCTTGCTTTTTTGTTGGTCCTATGTCTTAGAGATGTCTATAGTATTGAGCCAAAAAAAGTACATTTGGATTGTCCATTTCCTTTGTGTACCTTTGGAGGATTTTATCTTCTATAGTTTTCCTTTCCCAATTCTCTTGGTGGAAAAAAAGGGTAAGATAAAAAATAATTCCCCGGTAAGTTATTATTTATTCTAAATGTCTACTGGTATTTTAACAGGACTGCTGGGAAAAGCTGTCGTCTTTAGTGTTGATGTGTGTTAATAAAGAACTGCTAGTGCATGTAGTATCATCCCTGAAGGAGATGCTGAAAAATATATATTGCTCCAAATTCAAGACTCCATTTTCCTTTTTTGAGCTTTTCTGCTCAGAAGGGGAGATTGTCTCATTGTACTGGCTTATCTCCTACCATGATTTTAGGCCAGCCTAACAGAGCTGATACCAGATACAACTGATTAAATACTTCCTAGGAAAGGACCTTTGCCTCATTCTCCTCACCCCGCAAAACAGCCCACGCTGCCTCATAGCGGGTCGCACAGTGCTTTCAGGGGGTGGAGAAATTGCCCTTCCTGCAGCGGCGTTCTGGGGTCTTTCCAACATCAATCAGACTGTTCTGCCCATGGGGGGTCAATGAAATGCTGTGTGCTATAAGTAACCAAAGAGGTTCTGTTTTTTTCTAATATTTGTCCCACTGCAGACCTGCTGTGAAAAGTAGTTATTGACAGTACATGTGGTTATTCACCCATTTTGGTTAAACTTCTTGACCTTTGCAACTGCTGGCCAGTCGCAGCTGCGTAGCCACTCTTTCACTGGTTATTTGTCAGAAGACAGGTTAAGATGATGAAAAGCACACAGAAATCTTATCAGGAGGGGATAGGCTTCTTTTTTTTTTAAAATGGTATGCTTTCTGGGAAATGCTGGTCCCCTTTATCTTACAGGGTGAAGGAACCATACTTACGACTTAAAGAACATAGTCAAAGAGTGAGCTCACAGGAACTGGGAGTGCTTAGTTCTTCCTTTTAATCATGGTTTCCTATTTCAAATGACTAGGGCATATTCATCAAAGCTAAGATTAGGACTCTTTCCTTTCCCTTCCCTTATTAGTAATTAGATATTACATTAAATTGGCCATCCTCATCAAAATCAAGAACAGATTTAACCTGAATGGCCAAACAATCAGTGAGGAAGGAAAAAACTTGAAGCAGAGGAAGTGAATTGAAAATACCTTCAACCTTCTGTAGGGATGGTCCCTTGATTTGTATTGTGTTTGCTAAGATTAAGTCAATATTTAAGGTTTTTTTTCTGCAGTGCAGGATAATTGCAAAAATGGAAAAAACCCAAAGCAAGCACACGCTGTGCAGGTGGGCATTCAAACTTTCAAAAATGTTTGAGTCCAGGGGCTTGGTTTTTGCACAGCTTCTGTTCTTTAATGTTAGGGAGTACATTTAGGAAAAGCATAGCCAAGCAGTGTACCCAAATCTCTCCAATTTCATGTCAAAGCCAGGACAGGCAGGTGGTTATATCTAACTCCATAAAAATTGCACTGAGTTCTAAGGGAAAAGTAAACAATGCTCAGTATATAGAAATATGACAGTGCTGTAGGTGGCCCTGCTTGAGCAGGACATTAGACCAGATGTCCTCCAGAGGTCCCTTCCAGCCTCAACCACTCTGTGATTCTGTGAAATAAGTATGTGCACAATTAACTGCCTTGTACATGCAAGTGTAAGCCTTGTATGTACAAATAAATGTGTTTAAATATCATCCAATATCCCTACAGCACTGTAACACTATAAACTTCCATTTTTATTTGCCAGAAAGATGAAAACAAAACCGAAACCAACCGAACAATCCCACAAAGCAAAATAAGGTCATACAAATCAACCAACAAGCGAGCCTAACCTCGCTTTACTGGAGAGGATGCCAGTGTGTACAGCTGTTCCCGAGCTGAGAACAACAGATGTGCACACTGGCTGATCATTTGGCGTGCAACGTATTGATATTTTTACTGAGCTTGATGTCTCCACAGTAAGAGTCACAACCCCAGTACAAAACTAACAATAGATTCTCATGCAAGCTGCCAACTAGTTAGAGAGCAAAATACAGATCTCTAATCTTATATGACAAAGCTGTGATCAATTTTTATTATTTTAATTGCAGATCCAAGGCATGACAGCTTTACCCCCGGAAATAGAGAGACCGTACAAGACAGAACCAGTAATGTGCAGCTCGTGTTCCTGTTTACGTTGCAGTTTATTCCTCACCCTGTTGTTTGTTGTACATGTCACAGCCAGCACCATAGGAAGCATTGGGCCCTTTGTATAATAATTTTTATTCGTTTGTGTTCTGTATGCCATGCAAGTTCCGATGTGTTTGCACTGTTGCTATTGTAGATTTATTTTTTTACATATTAATAAACTAAATTTGCCAGTTCAAAATAAAACGTGTACTTCCTCTGAAAACTGTGGGGTTTTTGGTTTTCAATGTAAAGTATGTATAAAACACAGCAGGTACACTGGCACGTTGCATATTGAAATCTTGTCTCGTACCATTTTGTTACACTTTGTCCTGGCTCTTTCACGTGGTGTTTTCCAAACCAACTATGTATATGGGTAAAATTAATAAACTAAAAGCAACTCAGTTAACCACATTCAACCTGGTGTGTGCTGTATTATTTGGTCTTGGTTCTTGACATCTGCAGGTTAGGAAATTATTTCTGTATGGACAGGTCTTGCAAACATGTATTTGGGCATGTCTGACGGACACCTGCCGTAAAGCTACAAGAAGGATTCATTCGGGGAGGACATTCCTGGGAGCAACACATTGCAAACCATCTCTCCACCTTAAGAGAGAAGCGAGTGCTATGGGTGTGAAAGGGATGAACCCCAAATCTCCCCATAGCCGTTGCTGTACGAGTCCTTCAACTTGGCAGGAACTTCTTTCCCCCTTTTCTGTTCTTTATCTCTTTCCCAGTCCCTGGCAATTCAGTGTGTTTCTTTTGTCTTAAGGTATTTGTACAGCTAGTAAAGTTTTGGTGAGGGGTAGGCATGCCTTTGCTAGATTTGGTCTGGATAGCAGGAGCAATAAAGATGTATCTTACAGCCAGGCTCTGGCACGCACAGGGAACCAGAGTACGAGCCTGCCAGGAGCTACTGTTAGCACATGCCGAGCATCACGATAGGCCAAACTGTTGATTAAGAGGTTATTTTTGTGTCTTATGTGTAAATTTTTTTTAAAATTTTATTTACTTTATTTATTTGAAAATCTGCAATTTTTTCACTCACATAGTGTTGGGCAGGGAAGATTCCCAAAAGGTACCTAGTTTATTGCTCCCCAATGAAATTATGCAACACAGTAGAAAAGGACTTTGAACATCCAAAAAACCCCTTTTTTTCATAGCCACACTGCAGTTACAGTAAACTATAATTTTCCCACAGTGCTGCATAATCTTTACTGGAGTGTGGTTATAAAAATGAGTTGTTTTGGATGTTGAGAGTGCTTCCCTGACTGCTGCAACACCTGCACTACAACTAACCTCTGTAGACTTAGTTACATACGGACTTTGTTACATATATTTTATGTCATTGAGCACTCCTGTGCAGTGTGATGAGTCCAGAATAGATCAAGTACCTGACCGAGCTGAGATAAACTGGTTTTCTGAACATTTTTGTTCATTGACTGTTAACAACTGATACCTGTCTGTGCAGGTATCTGCCCTCTTAAAGAGGGCAGGCTGTTCTGATGCAAAGAAATATCACATAAGAAGGAAAAGAAGGAGAGGATTTGGGAACTGTCTTCTCTATATTTGAGAAGCAAGAAGGAAAGCATCACAAAGCTGGTAAGGCTCCTTTGTGGGTAGCCAAAATGACAATGTGTGCAATAATCGACACAGAAGAGAGGCACTGAGGTAGCTAATGCCTCAAGGAGACATAAGAGAATTAATCAAGTATAGATTAATTTTCTAGGAGATATAACAATCTCATTACAAAATTTGTGCATAAAGGGAGTTTAAAATGAGCCGTGAAGATAGAGGTTCACAGGGCCTACTAAATCTTCCTGATGCTGCAGTCTGCATTTGGGGTAAGAGCAACTCCCACCAAATCCTGGGAAATTTCTTCACCATTTTTGGGCAGCTGCTTGCTCTAAATATACCTGGACAGTGGTATGTTCTGCTGTCCTTCCCACTGGTGCTGGATAAGGTAAGGAAAAGGTGTATGCCAAATAGCATATGGATTTTTTGGGGTCAAACCCCTGAAGTTTCAATAAAGAAATGTAACTTTTTAGGTGTCTCCTTCCTGCCAGCGGAAGAAATACACTTTTCTGTTGCATGTTCCTGAATAGAACTGGTTGAAAAATGAAAAACAAATAACAGTCACGGCAAATGGCAGAAAAATCTTCCCAGTGATTATTTGTACATATCTGTTCTGAACGTGAAAAGCTAGGGCATCCTCCAGCTAAGATATCACAGAGTCCAGGGCGCGCCTTATTGTAAAAGCAGTCAGTATGAGCCTTGGTCTTTCTTGCAGTTAAACCCATCCCTAAAGTGGGCATGTTTGAACAGCTTTTTGTCATGGAGCGAGGGGAAAAATGATAGGGAATGAAATGAGAAAAGAGTATTTGTGTTGGACAGGGGAGCCCTTTCGCATGCAATGCGGTCTCTCATTTGCTAATAGACGTGGGCTACTGGCATCAGTCCTATGTTGACTTCGTTTGCAACAAAGATAAAGCAGATCTAGGATTATTATCCATTCCCTTGGCTGTTCTCTGATTTGATGCAGCTTCTTATCTATGGGGATTTCCTTTCCACGGGCACCCGTCCTCAGAACATGTGAACAGATGGGTGTTTGTTGTTGCCATCCTGTAGGCCACGAGATGATGTAAAGCAAAGCTGGCTCAGAAAGGATGTCTGTGAAAGATAACTGCCAGTATATCAGGAGAACCTGCCATAAACACTAAAAGTTCATTTTTGTTTAACCTGCAACTGTTTTATGGCTTCTGGAGGAATGAAAAGGAAAATTTTACTTCACAGGTAAATAAAGAGACTGGTGATACAGTTCTGGGATACTGCCAACTAAAAGGATCCAAAACAATAAGCACATTACATTATGAAAGAAACCCAAGATAAGAAAATAAATAAAAGGTGAAAGTCTGAAATTGTCAAAAATTCAAAGCAAGGACAAAGGTGAGAAATGTCACAAGCTAACTCCATGCCACTGAAGAAAAAATAGGTGGGGCAAAAAGATACCTACATGAAAAAGCTCTCAGGCACAGATTTCTGTGGTTTTCTTTCAATATTGTGCAGTGCTAAAACATATACTCTTGCATTGTATAGTTACCCAAACTTTCATAACAGTTATAGTTAACAGTATATACAGTAAATACTGTTTTCAAGCACACCTCGGTAGAGGAGAGGATATTGAGTATAAGCTGGAAGATCAATGAGTTAGAAATGATGAGCAAAAAATGACTAAATGTAATACCTCCTTTTAACAATTTTGCTATTCAGAGCTTTTCTGTGCAAAGAAATGTATTAAGAGTTTCTAGTGAGAAGGTAAATATGTAACTGTTTTAGTGGGGTAAGAAGTTGCATTCTGGAATAGCAGTTGAAAATCCCATTCCCCACACAATGGTCCATCTGCCTGTTATCTGTAGACTATCTATAGATATACTATTAATACTATTTAATGCCTTTTGGTTTTGTTATTTATTCATTATGAAGCTTCCGTTTAATGAAAATACGGCTCTCTTCAAATATTCACGTTATCTGAATCAACAACCATTTGGGATTTTGCCTGTTTGTTGTAAAACCAGGATGCAGGAAGACTGAGAAGGGAGCATTGGAGTTTATGTAGCTCGTCGATTTGCCGCTGTTCGCATATCCCATTCACGAGGCCCATCGTATGAGCCCGTGTCAGCCCATCTGTGCCTGCATCACAATGACATCTAGGCTGGGTGCAAGTGTGGACCGACGGAAGGGCGAGAAGCAGAGCCGCAGCCAGTGGGAGTGCAACTCTGCTGGGCTTAAGCCCTTTCACTGGGGAGGTCTGGCTTGGTAACCAGACTGGGTGCTTAAAAAGGGGGACTGTATGGCCATATTATCCCAATGTTGGAGAGGCACAAATTTAATAAATAAAACCTAGCAGAAACACTGGCCTCATTCTTTTCTTTCCTCCCCACATGCAGAAAGTGACTATTTTTAGACCAATTATTACTTCTGGAATGTTTAAGAATTTCCACTCCTTCCGCTCTCTGCCTCTTATTTCTGATTTTTGGTACATCCCTGTCTTGCGTGAGAGAGATAGCAAACTTATCCCGAACCTTTTAGCAGAGGTGAAAGCTGGGTGAAGAAAATAACAGCTGTGACACAGAGAGCTCTTCCGGGCCGCTTCCTCCAGCCCCACAGAGGTTTCCCTAGGCCATGAGTACCCCTGGGATCATCGGCCCCCCCAGACACCAGTGTCCTGCGGGCACACCGAGCCTGGCACACGGTGAACAAATGGGTGGGGGCAGCCATGAAGTTTCCCTTCTTCAGCCCCTGCAAAGTGCTTGCGGTGCAGGTGCCCACCCCGGACTACTAAAACCTGAAGCCTGGTGCTTAGTGCACTCACCTAGGATAAAGGTATGAACATAATTTATGTTTGTACATCAAAACTAGCAAAGTAGAATATTTTCCCAGGCTGAATTTTTAGTTTTGTGGTAACTCTAGTTTGCAGGAAAACTGTAAGATATCAGGTGAACATAAGCTGATTTACGATGTCTAAAAACATGACGTCTGCTTCTGAGAGCTGGCCATTTTAGGATGAGTTATTGCATCCTGCTCAAAAGAAGAGGTGCTAAAATTCAGTACAAGCTCTTCCAAACCACCGAACAAGAGTCACACCTATCACCACTTGAACCATCCCACATAATCAGATGTGGCTCTTCCTATTACCCACTTGGTTTGCATTGTATCCACAGACTTCAGTGTTGAAAAGCGTTTTCAACAGGTACAGTTACACTGCAAATTTTTTACAGGTACTAATGTGTTTGCTAAATTTGTGATTGTTTCTCCTACTCATCCTGCTCTTCTTCAACGTAAGCTAATATGAGTATTACCTATATGAGGTAATGCTCATGGAGGACCATTTTCTTCTGCATAGTGTGAAAGTGCCAACATTAAATGGTGCAAAATGGTTTTTAAATGCTGTCATTAAGATAATTGTTCTAAAATCTACTTTGCCCTGGTTTATGCAACTGCAGAAGGCAGAGAAGAATAGTAACTCCTGTTTCCAGTACCTACACTAAATCTGACTACCTTCAAGACAACCTGTAAAAACTTTTGAGACTACAGGTACCACAGCTGTAAAAATATGCAGAGAACAGGAAGCTTTTCCCAGACAACTGTGGTGAGTGAACCATTGACTCCAGCAGCATTTGTTTGCTCCGTGTCCTGCCTTTCGAGTCTTTCTAGCACTGA